AATTTTATGAAAAGTAAGTGAAACAATCGCGCAGATTTTGAGTTATATAATAACTGTGGGAAATTGGGCGACGCCGTTCCACAAGACAAACTTTCTGTCGTCCACCATTGACGGAAATCCTCGTCAACGCGTTAAGTGGACATGATATTTTTGTTGAGGGGGTCGGTTCACCGGTAGGGACAAGTTTTCAGGGAATTTGATGATCTAGGACATTTTGGCGCGGGCGCCAGGCAGTTTTGTGGCAAGCGATTGTGATATTCGTGTTCAGGGGTCAAGCTAAAAGTTTTCAGCGATGCGCCGGGCATTTTCGCGGGAAACGAATGTGATATTCGTGTTCAGGCGTTCAAGCTACCCCACGAAACAAGTTTTCAGCGCTTTTGGTGACCTAAGGTATTTTGGCGCCGGCGCCTGTGGCGCGGGCGCCGGGCAGTCCGGGCCAAACCACTGTGCTGTTCGTTTCAGAATTTCAGCCTACTCCTATAGACATCTTTTGAACAAACTTGGTTGCTCGCACGTCTTTATTATTAGAGCAGTATGCTGTCGGACAGCATTGTCCGACACCGTCAGTCGAATCCGCGTGCCCAGTCGGATCAGATAGCTGTCGCTCCCACCATTGTTGCGCGGTACACCGTCGGTCAACGCGTGTTAAGAAAGACTTTCGTTAAGGTCTGACAGTCACGGTGTCAGCTGTGGAGACTTTGGGATCTTCGCGGGCAAGCCGTGCAAGAATCTTCGTCCCCAGCTTGGGCATAGGCGTATGTGAGTGACAGCTGGTTGGCAATCCGAGCCCTGGGATGTGAGCGTGTTGGGCGCCGCAGTTATCTTGCGCGGAGTACGAGGAATTGAGGAACGTTTTGACCATGAGCAAGGCGCTATGGCTCTCGCCTATCGAGGGCGTCAGAAGTGGGTGTCTCATGGGAAGTCAGGACGCGTCGTAGGCTCGATGAAGCGGAGAAGGGAGCAAAGAGTGAAGGGGAAGACGTAAAGGAAGATGGGAGGAGGACCTCGCCGCTGTTGACACAGGGAGCCGTGCGACTCTTGGGTTATGTCTGGGGCGGCGTGACATGCGTATCGCTCAGTGTTGATTACCCTATTTTTCATGCACAGCGTTGCCACTTTTATTCCCAGAAATTTCTGATAATGGCGGCACTGCAGTTCAGTTATTCCAGGTAGATGGTTTCCGGAGAGGGGGAGGGTCGTATTTCGCAATGTGTCCCCCAACATAAGGGCGTGCTCTGGTGGTCTGATGTTGATTTGTGAACACTGTCATCAGATATATCAGTGGCTGAATCCTTGAGAACGCTACTGCTTCCATATAAATTTTTATTTATGGGCGTGTGCAAATGTAGCAGTTATGGCAAATGTTCCTTTCGACTGGGAGCGATCCCGGGGAAATGCAAAAATTTGCGTCCCTCGGACACTGAACCCTAGACCTTGCTGGCAAGCTGGCACGAAACGATCACGTAATCGCTGAGTTAGCGAGACGTAGATGTTCAACTTGTTCGCTACGGATGATAGGGCGTGTCAGCGAGGCTGGGTCTGGCGCGCCACCAGCCCCCACCAGCTGTTGATGTGAGTAGCGATTGGCGGAAAACATTTGATATGAGCGATATGATACAGTCTTGCAGCCCGCCGGAAGAAAAAAAGAATAGAGACGGTCTGGCGGCTCGCCGAACCCAGTCTCACTAACACTCCCCTTCATCCGCAGCGATCACAGCTGTACAGAGAGCACTTCCGGAGAAATGCGAAGCCTTGCTTTCGTCGGAAAATGAACCCTGGACCTTGCTCACACGAAAGAGATTACTCAATCGCTGAGCTGACGGGACGTAGGCGTACATACTGCTTGTTGAGCGTGAGGATGCTAGTTTCTGCTCACAGGGTCGCACAGAAAATGAGAAGGCGAAATTTGGAATCACCGTCGGAGAACACGTCAGATAACATATGTACAAGTCATGTAACCACCTGCTTGTCATACCCTTTCCTGGTTAGCTTTGCACAGATTTTCTTATATTTGTAGCAAATCAAGGCTGACGTGACTTTGGAGAGAAGACTGGTAACGTCTTCCGATCTGAAATCGTTTTAACAGAAAATGTTTCAGCATGAGGACGTCATGCATCAGAATGGTGATGGCCCGCAGAATTCTGAACCTGAAGAAATGCCTTCAGTAGATCAGGCAATCCCTGCTGACAACACCAACGCCTCGGATGATCGCCAGGTACGAGAGCACTTTTTTGGTTTCATTGGGAACTTGAACGATGGAATGAATTCCAGCCAGAACAGGCCAGTGAAGAAGAGTCCATGCAGAAGGTTGAGCATGAAGAAGAGGAATCCATGCAGAAAGCTATGCATGAAGAGAATGAGGCTGATGGTTCTCCGGCCATTGCTGAGCTGGTCAGTTACATAAAGGGTAGATTGAATACAGCAGTGTACTACGATATGGTTGACTACTCACCTTTTCTCTAGGGTGCAGGTAACAGATCTGCATGAAGTGCCATTAAGGCAGTGTTCAGACTTGGCGATGATGCACGTCGTCGCGCTACAGTTACAACAGCACTCCACGGCTATAGACGCGAGCGCAGACGGAAATCGATCTGCGCAGGCCGCTTGTGTATCGAGAGAGTATGGCGAGTAGGAGGGCACGCGTTGCCAAGTCACACAGTATCGAATGGCACTGGCCGCTAGAGCTTTGGATGAGTATAAAAGAGTGGGAGAGTACCAGATGGTGTGAAGGCAGCGCTTGCCCCTGTCATCCTCTACTCTCTCGAAAAACAAGCGGCCTGCACCGATCTTTTCCGCGGCTGCATTCGCATCTATAGCATTGGAGCGCGGGAGACGGGCAAGAGAAGCGTACTTGCCGCTTCGTCGCGCGCGGCAATGGGCGCGACGTTTCCTTAATTTGCACTACCCTTTCGATTGGAGCATCGGATTTCATGTAGACAAGGACATGGTAGACACTTATGTCTATTTTTGGTCATACATTGTCTATTCTCGACCAATACCACCTGAAATCGTCGTCATTAGCGGGCACGACGACGCTAACCGGCGCGGCGAATTACGATTCTCTTGCCACATACCCTTGGAGCGCTGATGCAACTTAAGCACTTACAGCGCGTTACGGTGCTTCATCGTGAAGTCTGACCGCTGCCTAACTGCGCATCTCTTTGATAGAATC